CCGAGAACAGGTCATTTGTCAAGTGTCCTAGTTCTACCGAATGGGCAACATTAGAGCCTGGCACAGCTCCACTCCCACCATGCGTGAGCAGCCTGGATTACGTTTCTTGATACGTCTTGTCGGTTGACCTTCACCATATTTGTCCTTGAGTTGATACAAAATCATTGATGAGGTCGAGATAGGCAGCTTACCTTTGTTGTGACATCGGATGTTTGGCGACTTAGAGAGTATACATCTTAGCTTAGTAACATTGGAAGTGGATTCCAATGCAGCGCATAAAACTCTGCTTATCCTGTCAGTCCGAATGAAATAAATACTCCGTAAACAAACAAAAGTAATTTAGATGCTGAATGTTCAGATCAGTCCATTCGGTTTTCAACAGGCACTAGGCACTGTCAATAATTTTGGATGTGGGTTTGGCTCCTTGGGAGATCGTTAATACACCACTATTTTAATGCCTTTAAATGCGATGGAAATGTTTGTGATAACCGAAAGTACTTTTTGAGCGAGTTACCGAGCAAGGATGAAAGTTTCGGTAGCGAGAGGTGGGCTGTTCTTTCGCCCTCCTCATTCAACCCGGGAATTTAATATCCGTGATCGCTCATCGAGTGTGCGTCATAGAAACGAACGAACGAACCTGGCGGTAATTGACCTCTGTCGGTCGGGTAAGGAAGCGAATCTCGAATCAAGATGAATTGATAAATCAGTCTCCATGCGCAAACGTAAATGTTGGGATGAATCATTAGCCCTCAATATCCTGTTCAGTAAATTCCATTGAGGCCGTGATTTCCTCGAACAACACCGATTCCTTTGAATCAAATGCGATTGCCTACGTATTTCTGACCTTGGAAGGCACACTTGACAAAATAGTTAGCATGCGTGGGCTGATGGGTGTGACTACTGCAGTTAGCCTTTCCTCGCGAATCACTCGCCACACAGATCAAAGATGACTCCTCCTTCATCCGCAATGAAAATAAATCCAACTGTTGGTTATTGTTTTACCTAAACTGGAATTGACCCCAATGATTGATGATTTGTATCATTTGCACCCCAACGAAGAGTAAAATGTCGACCTGTCCAATCTAGCTTGCTGGTTTTACACGATCGTTTTATTAATGCAAGAACTGCCCACCTTGATTTGCTTCTGGCCACCATGTGCACTGGAAAGCACTGTGTACCGAGTGACAGCCTCTGCATGCAATTATCCACAACCGCAAAGTGAAAAACCAGCATGCTGTTAATTGTTAATGTGTTCTAAATTCTACGAAATTTATCAAGTACCCTGCATCTTGCTATCAACAAGGATAACTTTTTTCAAAAGAGAAGACCATATGGGAATACTGCACGATTTATGTCCAGGACGATTTCGCTGCATCTCAACATGGTGCATACTGCATAAAATACAATGTTTATATAGGGTTTTAGCATGGTAACAAAGTAAAGCGAAGTACATTAAAAAACAAACAGACAAAGCATAAAAGAGGGAGGGGTAAAAGGACCAATATCACCAGGGTTGGGAGAGACTAACATAAAGTTCTTTTTGCTGACAGTAACTGATACTGAGCCTTATGAATGATAGTGAGAATCATAGGTTTACACAAGATATCCATGATCATTTCGCTAATTCTCTGTGCACGGCCATACTGCAGTCAAATGACTGATAGTCAGTGAGATAATAACTGTGAGATGAAGACAAGATCACGCTGATCCGAGCGTCCAACACGAAACGGTAGCACAAAAATAAATACGAGAGAGGGTAGGGGGTGAAGTACCAAGGCAAAGCTAATGCGACTAACCATTCACGTTGTTTGCATAGATCCAGTTTAAGAGAATGAATGGTGGTTCGAATCTCGCCCGATTTCAGTAACTTTGTGTTTTGTTGTGTTCTAGATGTCCCGAAATGTGTGAGTCGGAGTGACACAACGTTTTTGTTCGTATGAGTTGTGTTCTCGAAAAATCTCAGTGTTTTCTGATCATCCTCCATCACTTTCTTAAACCACACCGGGATTTGTTCGATCATTCAGTGACACAATTGCCTCTCTGTTCTGTCTATGTAGATAATTGAGCATCCACACTGGAATTGGTAAATTCAGTTTGTTTTGGCGGCCGAGGGGGCAATGGTTCTTTCACCGATGTCGTCGGTATCCGGTTCGTAGTGAAGACAATGACCGGATCAACTGTGTAGTAGACACGCTTGACGGCATAGTTCAACCGCTTGCTGACTAATTGATTCACGTCGTCGCCTTTGTATGATAACTTCAAAGAAGCTTTCATTTGGGGGAGCAGTTATTGGTTCTACTACGTTTGGTATAGCTTTGCAATGTTTGGTGATGAATCCAAATGGACATCCGCCTGCGTACAGAAACAAAACTTCTTATAAAGTATTGAACAATTTATGTCATCATTGGTCCCCATTTATTATTTGCTCGGATATTTTATGACGGATTAATTGTCGGGAATCCGGCCATGAGAGAAGCTTGGGGGCTTGCACAAATTGTTTTTGAGCACACTGTTGGGTGGATGTGACTGTGCAGACGGATGATACTAATTGCCTCCGCTGTGGCTAGAATACGACATTGCACGTGTCTATAGAACGTTCTGTTTTAACTCTTCAATGAATGACATTCAGGATGTGGTCAGTCGCATCAAGACCGGAAAGAAGTTATATGTTGCGAGACGTTACCATTTCGTTTAATCTTCTCAATCGCTCACGTAAAATGAACAAGCACATTTGTAACCTCTTTGGATTTGTAGATCGTAGTGAACGGACGTGTACAACAAATAGACATGAGCTATTGGATTTAAAAACAACAGTTCAACTCCACAACAAGCAATCTGATTGCTTTAACAACTTTTGTGCGCACAAAACGGGATGATGTTATCAAATTAACAACGCCTCACATGTTGTCAACAATTTTGCACAGAACGATTAGGTATATTGGGTGTCTCCCGTCTTCCAGGTTGGGGTCGGAAAGACTCTGCATCTGGTGATTTGGAGACATTGAAGATCATGGCAGCGAACGGATAGCAGTGCCGATCTTGTTGTCACTTCTTATCAGACCAGAATGCTTGGATTAGTGTGTATGCACAGTTGGACTGTATGCTCTGGGTTACCCTCCATGATTACAGGCCCAACTCCTACCCACCTTACACATGCATACATATGTGTATGTATGTATGTATTTTGAATTTGACACCGATCATGTCAAGTTGGGCGGTGATTGTTTCGCAGAATCTGGTCAGAGGAATGTATCCCTTTATTCCGGGGTCAATCCTTGATCTTTACGGTCTTCAAGATCGGATTAGTTTAGTTCCAATGATCACAAAAGTGTTGAACTACGTGATACTTTGCCGCGTGACACTCACAAAAGATCAGAACCCGCGAATACCACGCAGGAATCTGACCATGTCGCGATTGCATCTATTAAATTTTTACTTGGCGTCAAGTCCTCGAAGTGCGTCACACACATCGTTGGCCAACAATCGCAGTGTTCCTTGACCTAAAAGGAGCCTTTGATTCAGTTGACCACGAAGTCCCTATTGGGTCGCTGCTTCGGAAAGATATGCCGCAAAAGTATGTAAACTAATTGTGGTCGCTGTACCTGCATACTTTTGGTAGCGTAAGGGTCTACGGTGGGTTAACTGAATCGTTCGAAACCGGGAGCACTGGTCGTCAAGGGAGCCCTAATTCATCTCTCTTGTTCGACTTCGTCGTAGGCGAAGTTCTGGAAGACACACTAAATGGTCTCCGAAACGTAGGTATTGAATGGGAAGCTGCAGAAAAGCTGTGAGATCTAGATTACGCTGATGGCATCGTTTGTCTGTTCGAATGTCTGGAGGATGCGCAAAACGCTGTTAACAGACTTTTAACTTCTATAATTCCATTTGGTATGCACTTTGCACCTTTAGAGTACGAAGTGATGCTACAAGACTGGGTGTCGTCTGCCTTGAAGTTCAAAGATGAGCTACGGTGGAATGTTTTTCGTACTTAGGTAGCTGCGTTTCAAATGACGGTAGCATACTCAATGAAGTAACTGTCTGCATTTCCAAGGCTCGAGCAGCGTATACAGGACTGAAACACCTTTGGCGCAGACGTGATGTTTCGTTGAAGCTAAAGTTCGTCTATACTGCGCCAGTGTGCGGTCAGTTCTGCTCTATAGTTGCGAGACCTTAATTTTGCGCGTGGAAGATATTCGTCGTCGAGAATTCTTCGACCGTCGATATTTACCTAGTTTGGCGCGGGTTGGATGGAGCGAGCAGGTAAACAACTCTGAGGTAAGGCGTCGCGTATTTAATAATGATACCAAGGAGAATTCGTTGTCCTATCAACTTCAAACTAGTCGGCCTCTTTGGTTAGGACGCGTATTACGCATAGCCAGCCATCGTCTGCCGCCCCGCGCCTTATTCGCAGTTGCGGCTCCAGGTTGGAAGAAACTACGCGGACGTCAACAGATGACGTGNGAACAAAGCAATTGGGTAGAGTAACTGTTGGGGTCCGAAAGACTCTGTAACTGGTTGATTGAGAACATTGAAGGATATGGCAGCGAACCAATATCAGTGGCGTTCTTGTTGTTATTTCTTATCAGGTCAGAATGCGTGAAGAGATATGCATGCACAATCAGATTGTGTACTCTGTGTGTTGACTATAGAGGTTCACGTTCTTTGCCTCTCACCAACTAGTCCCAATCCCTTTCCATCTTGTACTTAATCACTTAATTTGTGTACATTGTGAACTTGGCAGCGATCAGCGAAGTTCGCTTTACGATGATTATGATATCAAATTCCAGCTGTTGAATTTTAGGAAGTGTCTCTTCAAACTTTTCAGTTTGTCAACCCCATAGGCCCATGTGATCATTGTCAGCCAAGAAAATTTTCTTACATCAATCGATGTACAGTTCATATTGTTGTTTTTTCTCCCTGCTTTGATCTTTGTATTTCTCTCCCCAGACCAGCACGACCTGGGTAGCGCTATCAACGTGCAACTCATACTGGGATCGAAAATGTACAGTAGCTTACAGTCCCTATTCTGTCAACGTCTACGACATGTGAACGATGAAGCTATGGAATCGATCGACTATCCTCGCAACACATTCGACACAACAGCAACGCCACACAAATGGTCGGCCAAATTGTGGTTAGATAAAATTTTTCTACCCAAACTGTGCGAGCTGCTTATCCGTATCCCGCGCACCGGTATAGCTGAATCGACCAAAGCGTTGAGCACGAGTCTGTACAAACACGGAGATGCACTGGAAAATTTTGTGAATGTAAGTCATACAAATTCTATTTTGTGAAACGTACTTTATTCATAATCACAAACCGTTGTCAATCACAGTTCATGCACTTACATCCCAGATTAGGAATACACGGTTCAATCAAATACCCTATTTTCTCAAGAATTTCGTTTTTTATATCCGAGTATAATCGATTTACGGAGTTGTGATGGCACGAAATGAATGTTTTCGGACCCAAGTTGCCATGTTCAATCGATTTCATTGTCTGATTTATGTACATGTTGAACACAACCCCCAAAACGTTTTTCAGCATCATCGTTTTATTACTCACTCGAAACATGGAATCCAAGCAGTCTGTTCTGAATCACAGAATAAACCCATAGCCATAATCAGAACACAGGTTGTAGGCGAACAATTGTTTTTGGTGAGTTCCTTATCAAGTCAGTACAATCATATTCATGTGAGAAAATAACGGGAAAGTGTTGTGTTGGGGTCAAATGGTGGAGTTCAAATAATCATAGCAAAAGGGGCGGGTGAGGGACACATTTGTCACTCGTTCTCACGTTCAAATAAGAACGGGTTACGTAAGCAATGATAATTGATTTGGGTCATCACAACACTCATGCGTGATTTTGTCCGCTTTGGGCCAGGGAAGTTTAAGTGCCTGAACAAGTATTTTTTGAGCACACAATTCTGGCTTCAACAAGCGGATGATAATTGCCTCGGCTGTTGCTAGCGTTTTAATTCGAACAGTCTTGGATTTGTGTTGTGNGTGTTGTGGGATGCGATAAATGATGTTGAGAGCCGAATTAGTATCCACCCTATGTCCAGGTTCGACCAAGTGTGCAACAATGGAATTGGAAATGACTCCGATTCCTCCGGGTTGATGTTCCTTGATGCGCTTAGATAGCTGCCTTGTCGTATGACCTACATATAAGTGGCACCACAGGTACACCTAGATTTGTAGATGAGTATTGACGAGATGAACATAGGCAACTTATCCTTGTTCTGGCATCAGATGACGGGTGATGTTGAGAACACGTATTGTTACATGTGTGATGTGGACCAGGGGAATCAATTTGTTAGTTTGAATAATTTCATATTTGCATCCAACAATACGAATTCTCGAAGGCTATCAAGGGGGGCCAAAAGCCTTCAATTTTTCTCGGAGTTTTCCCTTTCCATGTAGAATAACGTTTATTGCAGATACTGTAAGTTCAATCACAGTAATCTGTTGAAATGTATATGTATGGAATCGCAGATGTGTTTCCGTGTTACATTATAAGCTCAAACGGCCTGTGTACGAACGCAATCAAGAAGAAACGGGGGAGGCTGCCAGGTGTTGTGTGTGGCGATCACATCGGTCACACATATGTTCACCAAATGTCATGAGCGGCAAATTTCGACAAGCTTATGTGCAATCCAATAAATTCATCCAATTGTCGATCAAGCTAACGGTGGATTCGGGCGCATGATCAAACACAAGCGATACATCTCATCAACCTCTGCTGCTTTCTCACAGAACCATTCTCATTCTGATATCAATTAAGAGACAGCGCACAAATCTCCTAAATTCTAATTCATCACTTGCACTCTTTTACAACTTGTTTTGAGAAACATCGTATTATTACATCATATTTCACACTTTTCTAAGGACAGACTGTGTGCCAAGAAAATCATGGCACAATATTCTTTATAAAAAAGAAAAACGTTCCATGATTGGCTTGTGGGCTGAATATTGCCAGGTTGCCCAGGCCAAGGCATGTGAATTTTCTTGACAAATCCACAACCGGGGCCTTCGGCGAGCCAAAGCCTGACCCACAAGGCAATGGGGCTGTGTGTGAAAATCGCAGTTTATTGGGAGCCGGTGTCCAGTTCATCGGATCATACGCCTTTCGGATGGGGTCAGATGTCCAAGGTGCCCAATACACCTCGATGCCCAATCGAGCCGGTGACCATTGCCACAACCAGAAAGGTGTGGGTGTGGTTCATACGCCTTCTCTTGGTTGGTTTGGCATCAGGGTGTTTGGCCAACTCCACCAGGTGAACTACCAGTGGTCCACCAACCCGGATGTTGCCCTTCTGTCGTCTCACTTTGATAGAAAAACACCTCCGCAACGCGAGAAGGCAGTGAGTGGGGCTTCCTCAGCAAAACCTATTTGAGAGGCTTGGTCCTATGGGAGCATTTGGCGAGGTGCAAGGGAAGGGTGACCAGCCGCAACCCTAGACACCCACTCCCAACCGTACTGAGGCTTTCTGAGGTTACTTCGCGCATTAGTGGATTGATCGCTCGGGAACTGGTAGGAAACATTTTTCAGGTATTTCACTATTATATCTATGGTGCTTCCTCTTCGTTGGTTTAGAATAAAAGTTTTAACCAACTCCGCCCGGTGAATTGTCAATGGTCCACCAACCGGGTTACTGTCCCGCATGTCGGCTTTTCGTCCTCTCACTTTGGTGGGAAAACTCCTCCGCCGCGAGAAGGCAGTGGGGAGGGCTTCCTTAGCAGAGGCTATTTGAGACGCTTGGTCGTGTTGGAGCATTTCACGGGGTGGTACAAGGGAATTGTGACCAGTCGCAACCCTAGACATTCACCCCGACTATACTGAGGATTTCGGAGACAGCGAAATGTCGACCAATACAATTCTCTACCGACATCGCTGTGTTATTAACATTATAACAGTCGCAATAGAACAACACAAGGCGCATCGATTTTTCGATACGGTTCTAACATCAGTTGATTCGAATAGGCTTCAGGTATACCAGACACCTGCTCGGTAAAGCAACGTGTCAAGAGACATGAAGGACATTCAGATGTTTGTCTTTCTGATGCATGTTTCAGCTTCTACTAATCCATCTCAGCTGTACTTCTCTTCCACCGTTGTGCCCCTGTGACGTTGACATTTTTAACACACGTTTAATCATTTCTGCCTCCTTTTTGTCATGCGTTATATTTGGTTCAATGATCGTTAGACAGTAAATTCCAAATTCGGAAAGAGTTTTCTCCATTACGTTTCTTACTGAGAAAGTCTCTAGTCTATTCTGTTCCATTGTATTTAGATCGGTTACCCCGAAANGGTGGACGATCCTGATCAGTTCACCGTTCGTCGCTCCCGCACCATCAATTTCCTATTCTCGTTGACCGTTACTTGGATAACAAAACAGCTGGTCTGTACTGATCCTTTCCAGTACTCAATTTCCCTTCTCTCCTGATCCGGATGTCTGAATGACGAGTCAATTTATCGGTCAGCAGAGAATGTCTTCCTGTGTTGCTGCCTTCATCGCTCGGTGTTATCCTTGCTTTTTTCTTCCCACATAGATTCTACACCACTGAACACTAACTCCTAATTTGTGAAGCATGCGGATGACATAATCTTTTGGTCATTCTATTCCAATGAAGCAACTTTTCCCAACTTGAAACACCGTTTCGTAGAGATCTGCAAATATTAGGGTTTCTGGTTTACACACACACACAGTTGTGTGTGATGAACAACAGACGGAGTGGAACCCCTTCTGTTCAGTCACATGGAAACCGGTAACTTAAGCCCCGTTGGACTTGGAGTGATGAATAACATAAGGCCTCACTAAGGTAGGCCGGGTGGTATTTAACTGAACGTCAGCAAAGCCGCCTATCACCAAAATTGGGGGCTTCAACTTCGAACTATAGGATTCAAAGTACTCCGGTGACAGCGATTTAACCACTGCACCACCACCAGCACTCCACTACTTCAGTCTGAATACTTCAAAACACAACTGTACCGTTTTTCTCCGCTTCTAAAATCGAACGTTACTCCACTCCTGGATGATGATTGTTCTCTGTGTGCACTTGTGCAAGTCACGAAACGATCTATCTTCGTATCACCACTGAAAGCACATTTTGTACCGAACCTTTTCGTTAATTGTCTAGTGAACACAATTTGAAAAACGAACAATCGATTGATCTTCCAACCTGCACAGATCAGATAAGAACAATACATGTTTTACGAGGAGAGCTATTAAGTCATTCAAAAGTCACGATGATTGGTGGACAGGGATAGCGGGGGGGGGCTGAGTGGTGCGACGTGTTTCACTCCCCTAGGTTACCATAACACTTCAATCAGGTTGTGAAGCATGCGATACGTGCGATCGATCTTCGGTCACGGCAGTTGAATGGTATGAGCCAATCTCTTCTGTGCACATAGGTCGGACGTGAACAAACGAATGTCAATCGTTTCCGCAGTGGCTGGGGTGTGGAGACGCGACGATTTGGATGGGTGAGGTAGTATTCAATAGATAACTTTGACGGCTGATTCAGGCTCCACTTGGTGACCTGAGCCTGCTAGGTGTGACCGTGAAGGAAGAGGTGCCCGTGTGTTGCCTGTTCTGTTGAGCTGCTGCTGCTGCTGTTGCTACTCGTGTTCACCAATTTCATTTGATAAAGTCTCAGAATTTCTATGTGTATGTATTCCAAGTAATTATGAATTATCACGCTTGAACAAGGTTTGGAAACTTTGGTTGCTCACCTCGAAACCAACGGCTTGTCTGTGTACTGTGGTAATCAGATGGATCGTGTGACTTAATAGCATTTTATGATAAGAAGTAAAACTATACCAAGTAGTATATGGATGTCTGGACGAAATTTTCGAGAACTAAAACTATTTTCTCGAATACAGATGTTGTGACACAATCAAGGTGACCAAGAACAATAAATGAGGTGTCTGTTATCTAATCTGAGGTGTAGAATTCATTTGGAACCGGGGGGAGGGAGAAATAATAGCAATTACCTTTCCAGACAGATAAGATGATTACGTAAATGCTGCACCTCGGCTTCTTTCTCGTCGCTTCCTGAACGAACTTGTGTTTCAATCTGCTTTCTGTTTTTTTTAATGAACTTTTCAGGGTATGCGTTCCCCCTTAGAATGGTTTTAATCTGATCAAGTTCATCCATGAACGTCTTGTATTTGTGTGTATCCTGTCATCACCA